TGAGTTTTTGTACTTACTAGTGCGAGCATATAGTTTTCTATATAGGCTTCTGATGAGATACAAGGTGGGGGAGAGTTGTGAATGAAGAGGGTGGTGTAGGTTAGATAGAATGGATTTAGCCCATTTTTCACATGAGTCCATGTGCCTGTCAACCAGAATATTAACAAGCTGGTTAAGTGGCAGCTTTAAACATCAACACATTCGTAAAATGGTACTTTGAAAAAAATGATAGAGAAAACAAATTACTACCATATTGAGAATTCTGATTATTTCATCACTTATTATTCATCTAGTGCTGTAAACTAAAAAGTGAATCAAACTGTTTTGAACAGTTTCTCTCATTTTGTAAGTAAAACCTATCTCTCTGTCTCTCTTCCTCCATCAAATAACCAATCCCTTTTGAGTCGTTCACTCAAAACAAGAAATAACCACTCCTTTAGGTGCTATGTGGCTGTGTGTGTGTGTGTGTGAAAGTGCTTCTAATGACAAAAAACAACAGTCATTGACCTCACTTTATATGTGTATCTCTGTTGATAAACACAATATAATGTTACGTACAAATGTTTTTTAGAGAATGATGCACTACAGATAAAAGTATCTTGCATATTATACACAAGAAATAAGATCGGTCATGCATTCTCACTTATTTATTTGTCTGCTTTATTTGCTTTTAATTCCCAATGGAACATACAGCTTCACGCTAGAACTTTTAAGTATCAGTAAAAATGATCGTTTTTACGGGATAAGATTGCTAACTCCACGTTCAAACTTCCCTCTTAACAATAATAATAATAATTTATCAATCCGTGATCAACTCGTAAAACTGATATCAATCCGTGATCAACTCGTAAAACATAACTAATCCTTACAAACCAAACTATAGAAAGTTAATCTGATGCTCGCTAGTGACTTGCTACAGGTTGGAGTTTCCTGAGTTCTAGTGAGAAGTCGTGACCAGTGAGGTCCAATTAGATGTCACGTGTGTGGATGGATGTCCCACCAACGACAATGGTTGGGGTCGCGCTAAATCACGAATTGGTAGAAGTTAGAATTCACGAGCCATTGAATCGGGTCCCAGTGGCTGAATGGTATACGAGCTTGCCTTGTAACCGGAAGGTCCTGGGTTCGAAACCCAGTGGGTGCGTACTGCCGATGATTCCCAAACTAGGATGAAACAGCAGTTGTCCAGTACTCCCTGGTTTTCACTGGTTCTCTAACTGATATCAATCCGTGATCAACTCGTAAAACATAACTAATCCTTACAAACCAAACTATAGAAAATAATAATTTACTTTATTCCAAAAACAGTACTTATAATACAGAATGGAATTCTCAGCATCTGTCACAATATTCTATCTGATTTACTCCTCAAAATATAAATAAAATTAAAACAAAATTAACCATAGGAATTTGTCCACGCTTACGATATAAAGTCAAAAATATTTTAAGCACGAATTGAGATCATTAAATATTAATAATAATAATAATAATAATAATAATAATGGTAATAATAATAACAGTGAGTTTGTTTCAAACAGTATTGTCGATTCAGTTTGAAAATTTTAGCATCTTATAGAGTATTGAAACCAATGTTCTGTTGATACAGTATGGTGAGGGGGAATACAAAATTAACAGTCTTAACACAGCTTAAATGATGTTCACACTTATGAAAAAATAAACAAATAAAAACAAAAATTCGAGAGGATTATAGATATAAGAAGTACAATAACAATAAAGGCTGGTGTAATAATGGTGGAGGAAATGGTTTATTTAATAGTGCAAAGAAAGTTAGTTAGTTCATGCCTAACGCTATTTTCATCACATAAAGTACGTGCCGTCAAATATGGCATAGTGGAATTTTCACACTTAGACGTACGTGCATAAAGTCTTCTGAAAAGACTTCTTGTTTTACCTGAGCAGACATAAGGTTGGAGCTGCGGTTAAGTAAAGTGGATTCTCGCATTCTGACAAAATATGTACAGCAAATTTGTTGCATGACATCGAGTGCCTATCATTCACAATGTCAACGATATGACCCAATGAGACACCAGTCACCCTACTGATAGTCTTCAGCATTCTACGAATTGTGACATAGTCCTTTTTAAGCAATCCAGGAAAGAATAAGGGTGAACAGTAAAGAAGAATATACAAGATGCACGAGTTATCAAACTGTACGGGGAGGAGGGTGTGAGTTCTGTCTGAGTGCCTTAACTTCTTAATGTCAAAAGTCAGACAAAGTATTCTTTTAGAAATCTCTAAGACATGGTAAGACCAGGATAGGTGAGAAGAAAGAATTAATCCAAGCTACTTAACTTCAGACTTAATTTCTATATCAGTATCATCAATTTCGAAACGGTCATAGGAATTAACAGTCTAACATTTGGAAAAATTCAGCTTAAGACCATTAGCTGACTCCTCATAGAAAGCTGCTCATCTTAGTACAGTCTAACTGTGAGTTAAATGACATTGAAATAGATCGACCACATATTTAGCAAAGTTCATTTCATCATGAGCATGATGAAATCCTCCATGCAATCAAACAAAAGCCCTACAAAACCAATACTTGAAAGTTCATTTCATCAGAGTTTAACTAACGGCTAAACGACGTTTAGGCGTTTATCAGCTGGGAATTCTTATATGTAGAGTGTTTATCTAGTTTAAAAGTTCTATCGATATTTGACGAATTCATTGGTTATTTTAAAATAATTTAGTATCGCAGAATAACGGTTGCGAATTCAAAGCACTAGCTTGAAGCCGTATGTTTGATTGAGAGAGCGCTAAATAAACAGATGAGAATACTTTTACCTGTAGTGCACCATTCTCTAAAAAACTTTCGTACATAACATTATGCTGCGTTTATCAACAGAGATACACTGAGGTCAATGATTGTTGTTTTCTTGTCGCTTGAAGCACTTTCACACACACGCACACACACACACACTCTCACACACAGCCACATAGCACCTAAACAGGTTACTTATTTCTTTTTGTGAATGAACGACCCAATAAGGATTGAATATTCGATGGAGAGAGAGAGATGAGGTGTTTCCTTACAAAATGAGAGAAACTATTCAAAACAGTTTTACTTACTTTTTAGTTTATAACACTAAATGTGTTATAACTGATAAAATAATTAGAAAAAGAGATAAACCAATGCTAAACGAACACTTTATTTGATGATGGTGACAATTATATCTCAATTACCCAGTACTGTGTTATAAGCCATATACACTGTGAGTGTGTGTGGAGGGGTGGGGGGTGGGGGGCTAATGGTGCTACTCAACTGCTCAGGCTGAAGTACATGAAGCAGGATTCGAAACCGGGACTCATTGACTGAAAGGCGAGTGCATAAGCCAATATATCTCATCTAATAATATGCACATATTTTGTACACTCAATGACTGAGTCTCAGCATAGAACTTTGCACAGAAGTGAGCCCGTTCAACTTGCTACATTCCATGTAGTACAAAAAGGGTAGATAAAGGAAGGGAGGAAAAGGCATCCAAAAGAACTATGATAAGTAGATATGTAAAGGAGAAAGAATAGGTAGCATGGAATGAATGGGATATCATAATGAGTGGTCGTCATATGCAACACTGAGAGCAGCTTCGAGACATATTCCATATCCTCAATAGTATCAATCCATTGGTTATTAGAATCGTAAGGACCTCAACCAGGAACAGTTTACACCTCCCCCCTACGTGGCTGGCTAAAACCAACTGTCAACAACCTCATGGATTGATACCAAATTTTAGTTTGGTCACTTCCAACTCTTTTTCAACATAGTCATATGCCAATTAACATTGGTCGTCGACGAAGCCGGTGACTCATCATGTATAACATGTATCATAGTTGTCTAAATCCAATCATCATGAGAAGAAAATCGCCCAAGAAATATGCAGGAGAAAGTGGAGATGGGTTGGACACTCGTGGCTGAGGAGGCCGCTGGGTGACATCGAGTGTGCGTCAGGCCATTGGTCGAGTGGAACCAGGCCGAAAGGGAAGCGGCGAGTGGGACGTCAGTGGAAGGGTGGGTGACATGGAGGAGATGGTGTGAAGAGGAGTTGAAAGAGTATGGACTAAGATGGATGCAGGTGAAAAGTACAGCAGAAGGAAGACATAAGCAAGTGGAGGGAAACGTGCAGTTGAAGCCCTATGTTCCACTAGGAACACAAGGGAACAATAATAATGATATAATAACAATCACCACTCTACGCTTAACCTTAATATTGCCCCCTCCCCATATTATCGCGTTTAACAAGTGAGACAGAATGCTGACATCTGCAGTCAAAGACAGCTAGCCAAACACTTTCAACGGTTACACCTCAGAGTTATACAGGAGTACTGAGCCAAATGCTACACAGTACATACGTACCTTGATCGATAGCCAAATATCACGTGTACGCTAACGATGACGTAATTTGGCAAACTGCACATCAGTCTTTTGTATCTGTGCTGAAATTCTGTCAGCAACTAGTCCATTGGAGCAGCATTATTTGAAAGGAGTGTATCTCATGTCAAAATTTCAAAGATTTTGCAAAAGATATTCAGAAGACTGTGCACTTTGTCAGGATCATCGCCCAGTGGAACAATTCCACCTGCATACTCTAAGCCCATAAGACTGTTCACCGGTATTAACTCAGTGACTATGACTAAGCGGTCGATTCCAGTTACATCTGCTATTTCTTATTTTGATGAAATTAAACATAATAAGGGGGAGTATAGGCATCATTTCAGATGACAACTCTTTCTCAACCCCCCCCCGCCGCTTGTTATTTATCCACAAATATACAGATAAGGAGAAAAGAAGAAAAATGTTTCTCCTTAATTGTAGACACCTTTCTGTCTCTCCTTTCTGTAAAATTTAATTTATGCAGAAGACGCGTGTTTCAAACGGCATGACACTCAAGAAACTGAGCACTATTCACAATAAAATGAAGAAATTGAACAACAATATTAATAACAATAAGACAATTGAATGTAAGTAAATCAATGCTTACTCTGAGTATTTCTTTATTTACAACAGGTTCGTAGACACCATCACTGTTTAAGTATTTTGTACTTGTATCAATATTTTCATTTGATGCAGACATGGAATTCGTAGGCGTAGGTGTAACACTAGCTCGTCGAACTACACCAGGAGTTGAACACACATTACCATTTTTGCATAAATGTTTTAGCCCAACTATTTTCAATATTTCCGCTTCTTTATCTGATTGTGGTTGATAGAGAATATCAGCAGCAACACGAGCTATATCCTCACGAAGTGCAGCATGTTGAGCAGCTAATGGTGCATACACAGAATTTAATTCATTATGAAGTTTTGTTAACTTTTCAATACTTTCTTGATCTGGTAATGTTTGAATAGATGCTGAACAAGTGAATAAAATGAAGAGAAAAAGTATTTCTAGTCAGTCACAGTCAACAAGAGATGTCACACAGAGTTCTTCATCGTAGTCACTGAAACACTCTGCAGTAAATTTAAACAACAGTACGCAGTGGACTTTCTACACTTTACATATAGAATAAATAACTAAACAGAATAAGTAGGTTACATATGCAGACTGAAGTTGAACATCCTGTCTTTACTGGGCCTACACATTCTAGGTTGGGCGGTGTGTCGGCCGAGAATCGAATCCCGAACTGTCTGAGTCTCTGTCCGTCTGCCAGTTTCGACATTGAACTTTACACCGATGTGGAGCAGTTCAAGTCGTCACACTCCATCCACATAGCACACAAAACAAGAGAAGAAAGTAGAGACAGTAAACAGTGACATGAGGCAAAAAGAATAGTAATAATGAAGAATAATATAGTTTTATTGGGTATTACAAGTCACAAGAAGTGGATGCATCTCCGCCAGCCATTCAGAACGAGGATTTTGAGCCATATCACCGATTGTATCCAGCCTCCATCGATGTTTTAACGTCCCGAGGACCACAACTAACCAAGGAGCCTACATCTTCCTACGTGGGTGGCTTAAACTAACTGTTGTGTATTTCGTGAATATTAACTACCTTATGTTTTGTTTCTATGTTGAATCCCCTTCCAGCTGAACTGATTTTGAAGTATTGCACACATTTATGGTAATTAATAACTGATGAAATTTTCAAGGTGTTAGCGAATATCTCCATTTCTATTTTGTTTGATGATCATGTTTGACAATAATCCAATGAAAGTTATTAAAATTTTGATCACAAATTGACTTTAGTTAAAGAGGAACTATTGAAAACCAGGGAGAGTACTGAGAGTCTTTAGTAGCATGTGCTTACGACTCCACTGACTACCAAACCCAAAACCTTGAAGTTACACGCGACACACTCGTCGAGCATTCAGCCACTGGGATCGGCGATCCAGTGGTCCATCAATTCTAACCTCTCTCAATTCTCAATATGTAACACGACCACCAGACAATTTTCATCGATCAGTATCTATCCTCATACCCAACTTGGTGAACTCTGTCGGTCACAATTTCTCACAAAAACTTCAAGCAACACTTCATCCTGGAGTGAATCACTCACTAGTAGTGAGTACTAGATTTGAGTTTGCTTTAATAACCTAAAGGTTCTGGATTCGACGCCTTGTGAGTTTGTTGGTGTGTAACGCTGAAGAGTCTCAAACAATTTATTGATTAGAGTAAGAAAGACAACATTTCTTCGTCACACTGATGTTGATTGGAATGGAGAAGTGATGACTGAAGTTAAAGCGAAAAATTCAGCTTTAGAAAGATTCGCACTTCAAGTCTGTTGACCGGTTAAAATGAACTTTTTAAAAATGATACATGAATCAGTAAGTCAGTTCACATATAAACACTGACAAAACAACAAGGAAGACCACTAAGGGTTTCAAAGAACATCGAAGTTTAGCATAACATTTACAACCTATATATATCATGAACTAAATATACTATAACTATGCATGTTGCTTGAATATATCTAGCTGATTTACACTACCAAATAAGTTGCTTATTCTAATAGAAATATCTTCAGTACGAAGTTATTTTACAGCTTCAATTTAAGGAACAATAGGGATAAATGTCTCTGGATGATGATCGTAATGCATCACAGCAATCACATGTTGAGAAACGCCAAGTCAGGTAGATCAGCGTCACAAGTATCGCAAATTGGCAGAGGTCAGAATTTATAGGCCATCGGTTCAGGTCCCAGTGACTGAATAGTCTACAAGCTTGCCTTGCAACCGGAAGGTGTTGGGTTGAAACTCTAGTGGGTACATACTGATGAAGAGTCCCGGAATAGGACGAAACAGTTATCCAGTACTCCAAGGTTTTGCGATGATTCTCTAACTGATGTCAACTCGTGATCAAACCTGAAATGACAATCATTCAAACATGACATGCATACTTTTTGAGCAGAAAGTATTCAAATCAATCCAATTTGTGATTTGAGACAACCAAACTGATGAAGAGTTTTACACTGAACTCGAACTTGTGTCTAAAAGAGGTACATAATTATGACAATAATAATAATGGCGCCTGTATTCAAAAACAGTACGTTTGATACAATAGGGAATTTCTACCTAATAAAGTGCATAAGTGCATCAAGTTTTCTCTTTACATTTATATAGTACAGGGAGAAAATAATTAATAGGACATTCAGATTTTGATAATGATGTCAGTATAAACAGTAAAAACATAACCCTAACTGACTTTAGCGACTCAGGGATTTGCTTATTACCATCAGGGAATATTCATGTTAACTTTATGTAAATGATATAGTCCTTTTAGGTAAAGACGTTGACAAAATGCAGGGTCTTCTGAACATCTTGAGCTGCAATCTACAAATGTGTGGCATGCGATTAGCTCCCGCCAAATGCAACATGATGCTACAGGACTGGACTACATTGATACACACCTGGCTTAGAAATAGAGAGTGAGGTGGTAGAGCGTGCTGAGCGCCAGTAATATACAGCAGGTTATAGACCAAAAGGCGTGTGTACCGCTCAGCAGTCCGTTGCGTCGTCCTTTATAGCTAGCTGCGACATCTGGCCATTGAGAGTAGAAGACACGAAAAGGCTGGCTAGCTGTCTTTGATCATAGGTGCCTGCGTTCTGTCTCCCGTGTGAAGTGGTATAATAAGGTAAGCAATATCGAGGTTAGGCATCGAGTGTTAGGTAAACAGAGGAAATCAATCGACGAGGCTGTGAAGCTACATCGACTAAAATAGTTTGGACATGTGTTGTGCACGCTTTCCTCGACTGACGGGCAATGACAGCTGATATAGGATGAGTCAGCTTGGAAAAGAGCCAGTGGTGGTCAAACCAAAACACGGCTTCAACAGTGAATGAAATCTACAACAGTTAGTTTAAGCCACCCACGTATGAAGACGTAGACTTTCTGGTTGGGGTTCTCGGGACAGTAGAAAACAATGGAGGCTGGATACAATCGGTGATATGGCTCAAAATCCTCGCTCTCAATGGCTGGCGGAGATGCATCCACTCCTTGTGACTTACAATACCCAATAAAACTATATTGTCCTTCTATATTACTGTTTACTGTCTCTATTTTGAATTTCTTCTACTTTCTTCTCTTTCTTTGTGTTGTGGCACATGGAGTGTGGCGACTCGAACTGGTGCACATCGATGCAAAGTTCTACGCTGAAACCAGTCAGCCAGTGAGTCAAATAGTATGAATGTAATATTAATCTCCCAAACATAAAGTCCATTCCCAACAAGATGCTTGCTGATAGAGTTGTGTGTGTAGCGAGAGAGACAGAGACGGTGGTTAGAGTCTGACATACTAATATTTGCCAGTTTATTGAATGAGTCAAAGTGTCTGTGCACAAGAGTTTTAGAATTAATTTAACAACACCCAAGCCCACAATTTCCCTACCCGCATTTTAATGCTCTCCGTAATGTAACAAAAAAGTCTGTCACAAATATCCCAAGGAAGATTAAGAGGGGATAATAAACAAGAATTGTTAAAACACAAGAAGCTGCTGTGGAACCAGGTACATCGGCCGTTCGACGCGCACCCCCTGTCCAAGAGGATTCAAGAACACTATCCAGCCAGCGTGGTTACGAAAAGGCAATAGTGGTGCAATAAGGAGTGCGATAATTCAACACCTGGTTAACACTGATCATTCCATTTCAACAAACGCCTCCTGCTTCAAAGTAATCTACAGAGTCAAGAATAACCTATCAAAGGCAATACGGTTGCGTCTTCTATGTATCGCTGAAGCTCGGGCCATTCACTTAGAAAAGCTGTGCATACAAAAGAGGATTACTCAACCACTTCTACTGTCTTGGTAACAACCTCTTCGATTTTGATGACTTAATTTTGTTTCTTTGCCTGCTCTTTACTTGTTTATAATTCTTGTATTCATTTAGAACTCTTACGTATTTTAGTATTATCTACTTTGTTCATATGTGCATCCTGAGTAAAACTCACTCGTCAAACTATTCACATTATTGCATAACTTCTTTTAACAACTGTTTGTGACAACTCATCACCTTTGTTACTACCCTAATTTCATCAACACCTAATTTTCTTGACTTGTATTACCAATCTTCACCTGTTTAGTTAAAATAACTATAACCAATTGTATTATTGTTTGACAAACTTAATGTACACATACATACAAAATAACACACATATATATTTACGATTATACAGCTAAGAAAATGAATTCGCTGAAAAAAGACTCTTCGCTGATCTACGTGTTTTGTTTTCACTAATGCCTGGATGGGGATTATCCATGAATTAAGAAACTACACAAGTGTTCACTGAATAACTTTCTTACATAGATGAAATATCCTTCTAGAAATTAACATGATATGTAAAGATCAAGAAAGATCAGACGAAGGATATAATAACCCCAAGCACTTATGACTCAACTTAATTTCAACTTTACTGCCTTCTATGATACCAGAATCACAGGAATTGACCGATTCATGTAGAAATCATGTCTGTGTCATTTGAAGGGATTTAGCTTAAAACCATCTGATGATAAAGTCTACTAACGAATAATTTCTGATAAAAATGCGGCTATTTATAGGTTTAAGAGTTTACTCAACTCATCTTTCTTCATTTGCTTTTTTGTCACATATATTAACTACCCTTGAATAAATGAATAAACGATATCAAAACAACGAAAAAAAACACCTACTGCATATAAAATATATATCTAGATAAAGGCTATATTGTTTAATTGAATTGAAGTATCGATTTATTTAAGAAATCAATAAATATATTAGATCAATGTATCAAGATATCCTCCTCCTTATCTACTACTAATTTTGAATCATGAAAAGAAACGAAAACAAAAACAGACTAATCGAAGCATCATATTTATGAAACAGTATACCACAAGTATACTTGATAATCAGGAGGGAAATAGAAAATAAAAAAAAATTACAACACTGGCGTACACACTATGATCAGCTATTGAAAGCCAATAATCGTGTTTATAGAATGATCGACGATTTAGACTGATCTGTATCATGGTCAGAAATCAATGGAAGTGATATCTAGTCTAGTCTCAGAGTTTTGTAATTTAAACGATCTAATCCTTACAAATCAACTATTGAAAATTAATCTGATGCTCGCTAGTGACTGACTGGGGCTATAGGACGGAGTTTCCTGGAGTTCTGGTGAGAAGTCGTGCCCAGTGAGGTCCGTCCAGTCACGTGTGAGGATGGATCTCCCACCGATGACATTGGTTGGTACCAATCCCGCTAAATCACGAATTGGCAGAACTTAGAATTCATGGACTGACTATTGAACCGAGTCCCAATGGCTGAATGGTCTACGAGCTTGCCTTGTGACCGGAAGGTCCTGGGTTCGAGCCCGCTGTGGTGGGTGCGTACTGCCGATGATTCTCAAGCTAGAATGAAACAGATGTCCAGTTCTCCCTGGTTATCAATGGTTCACTAACTAATACCAATCTATGGTCAAACTCGTAAAAGCAAATTAAAAAAACCTAAGAGTTGACTGGTTACTTACGGGTGGGATACAATTTGAACGCATCCTGTGTTATTGTGAAAAAAATTTCATCCGACCTAACGTCGATTCATGGCAGTTCTCTTTAGCTGACTTAATAATTGCACATATAAGTTATCACCTACGCCTGACACCGTTTCCTTCAATGTCACCATCGGAATCAAGCCAAACTTTTCGTTTCACATTCAGACTAGACTTAATGCCACATAGATAACTGAAGGAAGCGACCTCTTTCAAAATTTATACAATTAACTTTGGTTTGTGCTTAATTGTTGATTGGTTGGTTACCTTAATCACATCCGTCTTCTTTATACCCACATGAATTCCTGTTTACACTGCTTCCTCAGTCACAGTTTGTTGCTTTTCGACTGTAAGTCTTCGAATTTACGTAGCATTAGATATAAACCATCCACATCTTCTAGAGTTTTTCTATGGGTACAATGTATATCTATCTTCTCTCTCCCGACAGTCTGCCGTCTCATAATCCACTTCACCACAATCAAGAATATCATCGGGGATAATATAAGGTCTTGTCTGACTCTTATATTCACTTCAAACGACTCGCTGAGTTTTCCGTTGTGGATCACCTGAAACATACCAGTGTTGTATAGCTGTTGAATGAGGTTAATAAATACCTGGGTCACTGCACTCCATAGTGTTGAAATAGTTTCCAGATTACCTCGCAATCAATGCTGTCGAAAGCCCTTTCAAAGTCGATGTATTTGAGACAGACATGTGACTGCCATTCTATGCTTTGTTCGATGATGATGATGCAAAAGAGTTGCGATTCGATCCACACAACATTTGCATTTCATGGATCTAACCTGTTCCGGCGCGTGAAATACTGCGTCCAGTGAATCCTTTATTCGTTCCAGGAGATAACGCAACTTAATAGTTAATTTGGCGTGGATAACAGCATGATTCCACGTCAATTCTTGCACAGACCCAAGTCACCTTTCTTCGATGGTTTTACCTGGTAGCCAATCTTCCGGTCAGTAGGCACCTTTCCTCCTTTCCAAAACTTTTGCAATAGTGGCGTCAGTTAATCCACTGTAGTCTTTTGGCCCTTTCTCAGTGCTTCAATAGGAATTCCATCTAGTCCTGCTGCCTTCCCGATTAGCTTTCAGTAGCATCATTATATCCAAGACTTCTGCTTGTATTGCGGGACTGGTGTCCACTGGCAGTTCTGATATTTCTGGACGATTTGAAAGTGATGATCGACTCAAGAAACTTTTGAAGTGATCAAACCACTGTTTTCTTTGTTTCTCTTCTTTGATAATTAGATTCACTTGACTTCATCTATGCTTCATCTCTTCGCGAATAACTATGCATACACATATAAGTAATTTCCAGGATAGTGATTAGCAGTAGAATCCACTTGCACCTGAATGGTCTAGTGGATAACTCCTCGGTGTTTGTAATGATGTATACTGGGCTTGAGTCTCAGTAGGAACACCATCAGTCACTCAGTGCGAATGCAGATATATCTAGCTAACGATACACATATGCGAGGAAATGAGCCTATTGGATTCCACTACTAGTGACCATCGATTAAAATAACTTCACGTTAATCCTCAGACACTGTCGAAGTGTCCGTACTTAGCGTCGACATGTTAATAGAGACCAAACATTTCAGTCCAATCCATCGACGTGGAAATAACAATTGACTTCAAAGGTGAAAGGCAACTTCATTGTCTATTTAAATCCCTTAACAGAATCTTTAAACTATGATTAACAATGAAAATGACGTGGAAATTTCTCTACACCATACCTCCATTTATAGTATGCAGAACAATCAGAATGGCTAACAATTTGAACAGTGGGTCGCCATGTAACCACACTGCTAAAGCGTAGGAAAATGCGACGAACTAACTATCACTGCACTCACTGGATTTCAATAATTCTTCAACTAACGTTTTACTCTTGATAAAATTTGAATCGCCACTAAAATGCTAAATGTGAAGAACAATATAGACTAATCCACTGTCTGACTGACTGACTGGTTTCAACATAGAACTTTGAACTGAAGTGAATCAGTTCAAGTCACCACACTCCATGTATCACGACGGAGAACAAAAGAGAGAAAAAGAGGAGATTCAAGAGAACAATTATGAACAGACCTCCTTATGTAGCTGGCTAAAACTAACTGCTGCAGATTTCATGGGCTGCTAACATTGTCAGTCAGTCGAGGAAAGCGATACCTAGGCATGCCTAACGCATGTCCCAGCCATCATAATCGATATAGCTTCACAACTTCATCCACTGACTTCTCCTTCTTAGCTGGCACTCAATGCTTAACCTCAATATTACTCACCCTATTATACCACCTAACACGGGGGAACCCGGCCGACAACTGCTACCTTGTCGTGGTGGTCGGGCTTGAATACTGCAGTGACCCAACAAGCTAAACTAGCTGGGACTCATGTATCTGAAGGTCCTACCATATGAGGAAGGTTGTATGGATAGCGGTTAGACTATAAGCAGTTACCATGGGGTACCGTTGGGCTCCAGAATCCAATCGGATCGAATGGCGTATGAACCCATATTGATTACCAGAAACCATGGGAATGCAGCTCCTGACGCTGCTCCGCTGCCTTGCGGATTAGACTCTAAGTCAAATGCTCGAGGGGTGGTCCCTTAAGAAAACCACCTGCTTCGGTCTGGGCGCCCGCGCAGTATCTCAGCCATCACACAATAAATGAAATAAAGCAACACACTATCAGTGAAACTTATCGAACGCTCGTAACAATGCTTTCAAGCAATAATGATGTCTCAAGTAACTTATGTCTTTCCAACCTTACTTTTATTTTTATACATAGACTCCTGTATTTTAAACTTTGCTAACCTTAACTTCTTCCCCTTCGACAGCCTTTCGCCTTTGTCTATATTCTCAGCCTATCTATGTCGTTTCGAGATGTTAGTGAGTGGCGCTCAAAATGGTTGTCCCCAATATGACAAATGTGTCCCAAATGTCGTCATCTGGAAACACCGGCTCCGGTGGCTTAGACATGTGCTGCGAATGTCATCCCAGAGGCTTCCGTACAGGTCTCTGTTCGCTAGCCAGCCCTGGGACGGGATGGAAAAGGCGGAGCGGTGGTCAGTCCATGACGTGGCATCGTGGGATGAAGGGTGTTTGTGCTAGATTAGCATCGGTTGGTGCGTCACGACTCCCTGGTTGGGGTCCGAGAGATAGTTCGAATCGATGGCTCGAAACGTTATCGGATATGGCCAAGAATCGTAATCAATGGCGAACGTGTTGCAATTAACCTCTTTTTTCCCTTCCCGATGATAGTTAACGAATACTGTGTGAACCTGTTAAGTATGACTGTTTTCCTTCCAGATGAAATTCTTTATTCCTTCTCCATCTGTATATTTTACTTTTGATCTATGCTGTTTTATTATTATTGTGTGACGATGTGCATCTTTCTTGGTGCCATTTTGTACCAAGTTTTTTCTGTGTTTAAATAGATAAATAAATGATAGATAACAGGGGGGGAATGAATGCAAACACCTATGATGAAAGACAGTCAGTCAGTCTTTTCATACCTTCCACTTCCAATGCTTATGTCTCAAAACCATAAACAAGGCAGAGGGGGTTGGACTTCTGTGCATTACACAGGTATTTTGATCAATATTCGGATATTACGTGGAACAATATAGATAGAGTTTTCGAAAGTTATTACAGTCTATATATCATACACATACATACAAAAATTAGATTAAAAAAAAGGAGACAACACTTACAAATTATTGAAGGATCAAATTTTTCTGGTTCACTAAAATTATTGTTGTTATTATTTTTATTATCATCAGCATTACTATCCTTATGGTCTGTACCATTTGACTGATTAGTAAATTTAGTAATTGGTGGAAATTTAGTATGGAAGTCGGTGTCAAGGTTTTGTTTTGTAATCTCACTCAGATGATCCCCGTCATCAAGCAAGTTATTCAATCGTAATATTTTTGATCTTAACCAAAAGTAACGTTCACAACGAGCACTTTTCTGTTGAACAAGCTCTTCAGCTTTATCATTTAATGACTTTAAAGAAAAGGAGAAAAGAAACAGGGAGAAAAAGAGTTTAAAGAAAAGTTGATGGATGAAAAATACTCGTAAGCTGAATGACATTAATTTTGTCTGATATGCTGACAACATGACTGTATCTTTACCTGTCAAATGTCAAAGTGACTGCTCTAAACTAAATGGCTTTTTATCAGAAATCAGCCAGTGATCCAAGGAAAACGGTCTTACCTTAAACCTCTCCAAATGCCAAACAGTTAATTTCACCTTTAGGCATAAATCTGACCTAAACAAACTGGTAGTTAGCACTCACGAGGTGTGCAACAAAGGTGGCACGGAAATAAAATATCTAGCCGTCATTCTATCAGCTGATCTTTCCTGGTCGTCTCATATCTTGATGATTTTTAAGAAAATATTCCGTCTTACCTTCTACATCAAGAAGTTAAGACATTCTGGTATAACCCAACCCTTACTCCTACGATTCGTTAACTCTTGCATTCTGCCTATTATTCTCTTTTGTTCCCCCTTAGTTTTTCCAGGGCTACTGAAGAAAGACTTTACCTTATTACGCAGGATGTTAACGGTTGTCAGCAGGGTAAGCTACGTGCCATTTAACCAGCTTGTTAATATTCTGGTTGACACGCACTTGGACTCATGTGAAAAATGCGCTTAATCCATTTTATCTACCTAACTCACACCACACTCTTCGTTCACAACTCTCCCCTTGTATCTCATCAGGCAAAACCAGAAGCCTATATAGAAAACTATATGCTCGCACTAGAAAGAACGAAAACTCAACAATACTCTACTTAGCTCGTGTTCTGTGCGATAAAGAAAGCATTAGGCGTGATATCTATAACTTAACCAATAGTCGGCAGAACAACTGGATCTCGTCTTTCCAACTCATATCATTTATAGGTTCAACGTTTTCTTTCTTTCTTTCTTTTCCTTTTCTCACTCTCTCTCTTTTCTTTTTCTTTTTTTTCTGTTATGTGCTGCTTTGTTTCTTTCTTCTGCTTACGGTAGTAAATATGCTAGAAGCTACTTTTCTAACACCTTCAAACACTGTTCAATTTTGGCTTTGCTACCGACATGCTAATATGTTGTTGTCATAATGAACTGAGATTACCCATAATCTATGTAGAATTTTATTTATTGTTAATGTACAAATTGGACGCAATACTGTAGTAGAATGCTGAGAATTCTATTCTGTATCACAAGTACTGTTTTGGAATAAAGCAAATTATTATTATTATTATTAAACAGCACACTGAGTAGTCATCAGAAAAAGTCATTATTAAAGAACATTTTTGTTGCATACTACGTGATTTATTTAAGCTGAAGTTCACTTCAAACTGGTGCTAGCGGAAGTCTGCTGGAGGAGGAGGTCTCTAACTTTATAGTAAAAACTAGGGTGTCATATGCCAATTTAAGCTACCTCTGGCACCATCGCGACACGCCAGTCTGACTTTCAAAGGTCGGGTCCAAAATGGTTCGATGAAAGCAGTCTCGTAAAGCAGCCCGTAAAAAGTGGCGTATCCAAACAAAAGATGTGCAGCGACTCTTAGTATTGGGTCGTCATTGCCTCCGTAGAATTTTCTGCGTCCAACGATATCATTCTGTGAGTAATTCTAAGGATAGACAGTGTGCGTTTGAGCACGGTGAAGATTAATTGTTGTCATCTGAAAAGATCAGCTCAAGTGCCTTGGAAATATGCTATAAATTCATCCCAGAGACTTGCCTACCTTCCCTGGGACTGGATGCAGAAGGCGAAGAGGTGATCAGTCTATGATGTAGTGCCATTGGATGAAGGATGTCTGTGTTAACTTAGCATCACAGTTGGCAAATCACAACTCCCTGGTTGGAGTCTGAGAGATAATTTAAACTAGTGGGTTGAGACGTTATCAGAAAATAGCAAGGTCATATTTAAAAACAATTGACATCTAACGAATTGTAGTTGAAAATTAACCAACAAAGGATTTCATCTCCCTCCCCCCCCCCAAAAAAAAACACCTACGCTTTAATTCTCCTTAATATGTAAAGGTTGAAAACAAAAATGGAACGCGGAATAAAGAGGGATAGCGAAGTAATTATGTAAAATTACATGGTAAAATCAAGATGGTGGTAACGAAACAGATCGTAAAAAATTGTTTTTGTACACAAAATTCTAGCTTTAAATAATGTCACGGCAAGGAAGCCATCATCACTAGTCAGTGCTTAGTACTCAAGATTCTCTTTTGCATTCAGTAAAAATCAAGGATACTGGTCAATGATTTCCAATTTACTGTGAATGTGCTTGTGGAGCGAGTTATACTAGCTGTTATTCTAGGAACTTGATTTTTCGTGCTCGAGAACATCTCTCACTATGGCTGAGTAAAGGTGTAGTTAAAACCACTAACAGTTCAACATTGGACCATCTGGTGCAAACCGGCCAGCCACAAAGCCAGCCAGTGTGGAAGAATCCTTCTCTATCATCATCTACCGGGTGCCTAATAAATTGCCAAAATCATCGAAGCACCACCTGCTCCAAACAGCAGAGGCTATTGTGATTCGCCTCAAACAACCAGTGCTCTGGGTTCAAAAGAAGCAAGTCCAGCTAACCACTACTACTACTACTACTGTCCTGACTGGCCTTCAGTAGAGACTAAAAATTCATGAATTTGTAATATTATCTTGCCTAATTTTTCTGACATTCAGCTTATTGTTTTTATGTTGATGCTATTGAGCTGTAATCTATCAATATTACTGATTCGATGTTATTTAAACAACACTAATGTTGTTCATAACACTAATTCATTCATTCATTCACTATAATGTATATATAATTGTATAGCCTGATGATGAAGTTATCGAAAAGAGTATTCTTTGTTCACTAGGCATTCTTTTGAAAAATTTTAATGGGCATTTTTAATCAATTAGCGAATTAACAGGTAAGTAGGTAAATAAGCTAATCTGATCAAAATAATAATAATAATAATAGTTAACTTATATTTGAAATCAATAATATTGATTTTCACATGCGGAAGTCAAAACAAATATAAGTATCACATGACATGAAATGTATATGGAATGTTGTTTTTCCAGTGTAATGTGAAAAACTTAACAATAGTAAATGATAGAGGTTAACTTTTAGAAATTTATTAAAACCAGAAAATCCTTGAAACGTGGGAATAGGTGGTGAAGACGGTAGTCGCGTAGCACCACAAGAGGAACCACAGGAACCGGTGGAAGTGAATAATTAATTGACGGTGGCATTAATCCAAGAGCAAACGACTAACTATGTGGCATTTAAATGTTCTAATGATGAATAGATGGAAGGGGGTTGGCATCATGGTAAACGATGCCACAGCAGGTATTCCCATCAATGTCACTGATACAACAGAATAACCCATATTGCCTGCAAGGCAAAGTAGGTGGAGGATTATGTAATTCAAATACTGATAAGATGTAGACATCCCTTCAGTCACCGAGAGTTTCACTCATCTCATAGATGAATATGTCTTGATTGAAGAGTAAACACAAAGATTCAATAATACAGATATACGACGCTTTCACGAGGAAAGATAGTTTAATACGTAAGAGTTGGAAAAGATGTCACTACAGTAGTACAACACACCCACTGGGTTTCGAACTCAGGACCTTTGGGTCACAAGGCAAGCTCGTAGACGATTCAATCACTGGGAGCCCAGTGGTTCCTCAGAGTATGGCCAATCCACCTCCCTTTCTCCCTGTATATTTGTTGCACAATTGGTTACTGAATGGTTCGCTCACACACACACACACATACTGTCCAGACAAAAAACTATTACTGTTATTATCATTATAATTATTCAATTCACAGTAGAGGTGATGTTATTCTTAGGAGATGTGGCTGTTGGCCCCACATCTAACCTTCCCACTTTCCAACCCTACTACCTACCATCTAGGCGAGGTTTAAGAACACATCGGCTGAGAATGAAACTCTAATCACCCGTGTATATGTAGTACACTTTAAATCGTACACACTCTCTGAGTTCACAATATTTTAATGACAAAAATAATAACGCCAATCATGATGATGATGATGATCGATTTCAGAGCAATCGAAACAAAACGTTTAACACATTGAATTCAATAAAGGTGAATGAGAATTATTAAACAATATTTGAATATGTTTCATTTATGCTTAAAAATGTCCTAATAATTAAAAATAGATATATGCATAGATATTGAGGACACACACTGTGAACTGAGTTTACTTTTTTTTTCCAAACACTAAAAATCGATTAGCAGGGCAGTCATAACAATAATAACAATAAATTTTTTTTTTTAAAAGTTATAAACCGATAATTCAATTCACAATACCTACTCGCATTAATTCACTCGACGTAAGTCCACGTTCAGGTAGAAATGGTGCCAATCCTAATTGTTGACACATATCAGCTATTTCACGACGTCTTAATTCAATTTTCTGTTCCATAGCTAATCGTGCTGAATTCTCTTCTTTAATTACTTCACATAGAACTGTTTGTAATTTCTGGACAAATTGTTGTATACGCTCTGAACGTTCTAATTTATTGAAGCCTATATTTAGGGATTAGGAAAATAAAAGTATACGTTCATTGATTACATTTAACAAATGCATATATATATATATATATATATATATATATATATATACGCGCAGCTGAAGCCCTATGTTCCTCTAAGAATTAAAGGAAATAATAATAATCATCTGTATATTTAATTTTGTTCATTGTCTTTAGATTTTACATTATTTATTCTCTAGAAGGAAATGAGTCCTGCACTTTTGTCTAAAATAACCAGCTTAGTGCTGGCTAGTGTATGGATTTCCTTGCGACTGTAGTGAGTTTTCACCAGTTGGCTCCTTTCCAGCACACCATGTCAACGTGAAGTCGATGCCAATTGAAGGTAGATCTATATCACGAGTTGATAAAGTTAGAATTCATGGGCCCATTGAATTCCTATCTATGAGCTTGGTCTCGAAACTTGAAGTATCCTGGTTCGATCCCTGGTGGGGTTATGGACGCGCCCTGTTGAAGGGCCCTCTAAATAGTACCAAACAACTGTCCAGTACTCCCTTGTTTCTAATTATCTCTTTAACTGTTGTTAGTTTATAACGAAAATATAACAATACAAACTAATCCAAAATCCTGACATATCCTATGATCTAAACTTTTTTTTTCATAGTACGAATACTTTGATTGGATACTAGGTTGTAAGTAATGTCATGCGTCTGAACTCTATCATTCAGGTTTTCAGTGAAGCCGCCAAGCTAGATTATTTTGATATAGTTGTGTTCTCTTAGCTGGATAGTTAATTTGCAAAGCTTTCATCACCCCACCACTAGGCAACAATCTTCAGCGCATACTTCAACTTGAAGTCAGCTTTTAGATTTCTCCACGAGTTTATTAATCATCTCTCCTGGTCGGTGACCTTGGATGCCGTGATTGGTTGTTTTTGTGTGTTTTCACACCTTCTAGGTTACTTGTTTTTGAACTGATTGTTACTTTGGCTTGAACTTTGACCCTTTGTGTGTGAGGTCTCTTTCTTATTGGTTGATAAATTTTGTCTATCTCGATGTGTCTATTGATTGATGATTCACTGGAATGCCAAGCTTCTAAACATTCTCTAGCATTATTGTTGTATCCTTTTAATCACCTTTATTTTCTCTATGTTCACCTGAAGGAAGTCCTGTCTTCTCTGGATGCTTCTTCTGCAAGCTTGTTCCTTTTCACTAAGTTGGCAGAAGAAGCATCCAGAGAAGATAGGGCTTCCTTCAGGTGAACATAGAGAAACCAGAGGTGATGAAGATTCCTGGCTAACAACGGACAACAATCAGCATAAATGGAAGGAATCTGAAAGAAACAACCTCCTTTACCTACCTACTTACCTACCTGGGAAGCATCATTTTAACTACAGGTGGACGGAACTGATGAGGATATCAAAGAAAGAATCGGGAAAGCAAGATACGCTTTCATTACTCTCAAGTCTGTATGGAGATAAGTCAACAGCAGTCAGCATCAAAAATAAGATCCGGATTTTCAACTCCAATGTAAAGTCAGTGCTACCATACGTATCAGAGACTTGGCGCGTCATAAAGAGCGCCTGAAACAACCTACAGACCTTCATTAATAGCTGTCTTCGCTCAATACTGAAGATCAGATGGCCAGAAAAGATCAGCAGCAAGGATATCTGTGAGCGAACCAACCAGGAACCGATTGTGAAACAAATAGGCAGGAAGAAATGGAGGTGGATTGTCCACACAGTGAGGAAACCATCAAGTGACATCACTAGACAGACCCTCATGTGGAACCCGAAAGGGAAGTGGCGAGTTGGTCGTCAGTGCAAGGGTGACTTGGAGGAGGCCATGTGAACAGGAGATGAAAGCATGTGGCCAGACCTGGAGCCAGGTGAAAGCTCTAGCAGAGAACCGAACGCAATGGAGACGCGCGGCTGAAGCCCTATGTTCCTCTAGGAATTAAAGGAAATTATATATATATATATATATATATATATATATATATATATATATATATATATCCACTAATCAGAAGAAACCCTTCTAGTAAGCAGTACATTTAGATGAAGACAGGTGAGATACTAATCAGTAGATCTCATAAAACAATATACCGAAATGATTGGGTCCATATATCCCCTGGCCAGATAAATCGTATTCACCACGTCCAGGCAATACAGCTGTTCCCCACACAAAAGTGGAAAGGCGAATGAGAACGTCAGGCACTTTCAACCGAACCGGTGGACATTCTAGTCTGGAATGGCGTATGGACCTGTTTCGGCAACTGGAATCTATGAGCACAGAGCTCTTGACGCTTCTCCACTACCTTATGGAAATGACTTAAAGTCAAAGGCTCCGAAGATGACCCCTTCGGTCTGGTGATATCGGCTGGCAGCATCCCAGCCTCCACACAAACTATCTGGCTTTGTATGGAGCATCTCTTGACTCCAATAATATACCGAGTTCGTGTTTTAATATTTTAAAAAATGATAAATAAAGTGACGCGGATCTAAAGAATCAGAGTTATAAAAGTTGTTTTTTCTTTTAAATTGGCAGCGTATTTGAATCAATGAGCTAGCTGAATTTCCATACAACACACTGTATCATATTTTCCCTAGTTCGTATTGTTTAAACCATTTAGTTATGTCTTTGAGTCGTAAAATACACTCAGTCAGGCATATGTTTTATTGCTTTTCAAACTAACTGGTGCGTATATCCCGGAGACGAAGGCAATATACCATAAAGGATTAGTCTATGCTTCATTTTTACAACAGCCCTGTGTTAAATGATGTACTACAAATTTATACTTTACTTGAACAAATAACCTGGATAAAGACAGAATATTATGAAGTAAATAACTCTTAGAATTCCGGACATTGTATAAACATATTGTCCAGAATAAAGCCATTAGTATAATGATTATTATTATTTTTTTTTCAGTGTTATAAAATTCTATCCCAAAGTTAAAATGCAACAATTTCTAGTGTGACATAAGAGCGAACAACAGACAAGCTTTGAATCACACTAGGTCTGCTGCCTATCTGTCTGTTTTCCCGATGTGCAGCAGTTCAAATCGCCACACTCCATGTACCACACAAAGAAAGAGAAGAAAGTAGAAGAAATTCAAAATGGAGACAGTAAACAGAGGCATGAGGCAAAAAGACCAGTAATACAGAAGGACAATATAGTTTTATTGAAAAATTGTAAGTCACAAGGACTGGATGAATCTGCACCAGTCACTGAGGACGATTTTGAGCCATGTCACCGATTGTTTTCAGTCTTCATTGGTTTCTACCGTCCCGAGAACCCCAACCAGAAAGTCTACATCTTCCCACGTGAGTGGCTTAAACTAACTGTTGTAGAAATCATTGACTGATGAGGCCATGTTTTGGTTTGATCACCATTGGTTCTTCGCCAACCTGACTGTATGTCAGCTATCATTGCCCGTCAGTCGAGGAAGGCGTTGACTAGGCATACGTAATACATGTCCTAACCTTCTCACTCAGTCAATGTAGCTTTACAGCCTCGTCGATTGATTTCCCCTCCTTACCTAGCACTCGACCGAAGCCTAACCTCGATATTGCTCACTCTATTATACCACTTCACACGGAAGGAAGAACGCAGGCAACTATGATCAGAGACAGTTGGCATTTTCATGTCTTCCACTCTTTAGGTCTGCTAAACAGGATGGCCTAAACACACACACACAAACGAATACACTATTCTTTCTCAACTTAGTAAATACAATCTCCCCACTTGAAAAATATGTTTTAGCTGGTTGAATTTTGACGTAAATAAGCCCATTTTGTTCAGTTGACGATTGATAGTTCTCAGCATTTCAATGATCCCAAACACCTCCTTAGATAGTACAAACTAGTAGGTAAAGAATTCACAAAATGATGCTCTGTTTTCGTCACATTTCAGCTAGCGTCGTTAGTCTAAGTAAACGACTGTTCCCTACACATAACATACACACACACACTCTCCTTCCTCGACTAACCAGAACTCTGTAATAATGAAGAAGACTTGTAGCTAAGTGGGATGTTTTTGATGTGGTTGCATTCTATGCGCTTGGCGATTTATTTGCGAATTTTTCATTGCCTTTCTAGACATCATAGTCAGTGTTGAATTTAGTGACCAGAATTCTCCCTCTCACTTAAATATAATAACCTTTTAAGTAGTGAGATAGATAGACCTTGTGAATGTTTTTACGATTAACAGTTGTGTGTATTAGTCCCAAGTGCGTCGGCGGCGCAGCGGTTCGAACGCTCACCAACCAAGCACATGGTCCGGAGTTCAATCCCCGGCCACGGACGCACTCCTTGACCTCGCTAAGCCAGTAATTGAGAAAAGCTGGTAAATATGAAAGGTTGGGCATGAGGCTAGCAACCCCATCCTGTAAAAATTAACACCACGGTTACAGAAACTTCAAGCTTCTAGCTTGAAGTTGCCTTATGTTCCACTGGGAACGTGAAGCAATAACAACAATATATTAGTTCAACACCTTATGAATTGTAACTTTTATGCTCCTACTGGTGTGCTATATCACTATAAGGCCAAGTTAAACTTTAAGTACCACTAAATAACAGTAGCGTGCGACCGCACCAATAACCTTGAAACGCTCACTGAGCAAGTTAATCAAACCTGATAAATAATATTGCCATCATCAATAAAATATCCTCATCGAAATGTTATCCTATTAAATGAGATATCTGTCAAGTTACAGCTTAGGTTTGTGAAAGATTAAGGTACTCTTTAAGCCAATTACAAGTCGGGTTTGGGTTAACCTGATAATTAAGGCGACATTAGGGCTCGTTCGATTTAGACTAGAGTTAGTTTAGAGATTTTCGCCCGTTAGGAGTAGATTCAAAAAAGATTAGGGTCACTGTTAGGGATAGAAGACCTATATGACTACATGCATAGAATGTGGTCAAATTACTCTGTTGATATAAGAATAAAACTTGTACACTGTGGTAGAGTATAATTCCGTTGTGGGCAAAATTTATTTTGATAAAGTTTCACAGTGTTATGCAGTAAAATTTACAGATGAAGTTTCGAGTATAATTTATTTCCCTGTACATATGACTGTATTACATTATGAGACATTATCAAAATAGATTTTACCCACAATGGAACTATACTCTCTGTTGATACTCTCCACCCTAAAACTGAGAGCTATTTTTATAACATGTGAGAGGAAGGTATCCTCTGTAACACTTTTTCCACCGTTTTATGCATCTTTTTCATAAATATATGTATTCCATACACAAAAATGCCTGCCTCCTTCACGTGATTGGTGCGTTCGAGGTCATTCGTTGGTTAGTATTTAGTGGTGATTAAAGTTTAACTTTACCCACTATAAGAAGCAACCGCTTCACATTCAACCCTACTAATGACTACGGATGGCTTTTAATTTCAGTGCAATCATCCTGATCACAGTTACAAATGAAGGGGGTGTTCAGAATTTGGGTGTTGCTACACGACTGGCAGAAATATTTACATACTAAGCGAAAATAAAAACTGTTTCCTTTAGTTAACGTTAAAAAAAAGAAGTTATACACAGTTTAAAAACACGCCTTACCAACATAATTCCATATACGTAACAGCTCTGTTAAGTTGGGTCGCATAGATTGAATAAGTTCCTTCTCCAATTCTTCTGTTTCCATAATTATGATTATTATTAAATATTATAAATTAATAACCACCTAAAATGTTGATTAAAAACAAAAATCAATAGAATAAAATGGGAAGAATCATAAGAATTCAATAGAATGGTAAATATGGAAATGTTCTATGCGGAAATGCAAATAGATGACCTTCAGAAAGCCAATCAAAAGATTCGAAAGAAAAATCAAAATAGGATCCAGACAAAAATTGTTTTTCAAATGTAGGTGGTCATTAAGGACACATACCTGCATGCTAAATATGTATTGCATATTTAGTAGATGAGAATGTCTAGAATGGTATGTGTGTATGTATTTCCCGGATAGTATGGATTGGAATCAACTTACATGTATGAGGTTATGCCACGTGTTTGGTGATCCAAAACGGAAAACTTATTGGAGCCTGCCTACTATCATCGATGATATTCCTAACTGTGGTGTTGGACTGGATTATGCGGAAAACTGTGCGTCTGAGGTGAGAAGCCAGGAATACGTTGGGCTGATAAGAAGGCTGTGGATGGTCTGGATTTCGCGGATGATTTGTCTCTAATGTCATACAAACTCAAAGATTTACCGGTGAAAGTCAACAAGCAGACAGAAGAAGCAGTAAAGACAGAACTCCAAAGGAACAAAGAAAGGATAGAAGTGATGGAAATAACCAACCAACCAACCAACAACAAACACCAATCACTATCAAATATAGGAGACAGTAAAGATGACGATGTCAAAACCAGAATCGTAAGGGAGAGATAGACCTAAATCACTGTGAAATCAGTGTGGAAATATCTTCTGCACTCCGCATATATGGTCGGAAATTTTGCTAGTGCATGACTAAAGACATTGCCAACAGACCAATGCGAACTTTCACCAACAGCTGACTTCGCTCTGTATTGAAGATCAAGTGACAAGAAATAATTATCAACAAGAAACTCCGAGAACGAACCAGTTAAGAACATATCACTCACCAGATATGCCGAAGAAACTGAAGAGGGGTTGGACACACACTGAGAGGACCGTCGAGTGACATGGCGTACCAGGCCAGAGCTCGAGTGCAACTCGAATGAAAAACGATGACACTATATATATATCATTGGTTCAGTCAAAGATTGACAAGTACCCCTCACATGTTACCTCCAACTGTGTATACCAATTCACATGTATCTGCGGGAGCAGTTACTTTGGAAGAACAGAGAGGAGAGCCTAAGTCAGATTCTGCAAACATGTACCAAGGAGCCTCCGGTTAAACGGACCGAATTGTTCAAACTCTTCAATCGCCAAACACCTGATCGACACAGGACACCGAGTAGATGTGCTGGAATTATTCAAAATAATTAACAGACAAAGTACCTCAAGTCTTCTCAGATTTGCTGAAGCTATAGCAATAAAACGATTGAAGCCTGATTTATGTGTCTAAAAAGAATCTGTTGTTGGACTTCAATTACCCTGGTCACTCACATCTTAGTAACTCTTTGTTTTCTAATTTTATTACCGTATCTTTTCACTCCACCCCCTCCCTTTATTTTTTGCTTGACTATCTTAAGAGATAATTTTTCTTGATCTTCTGAGTTCTGCTCACTGTATTCCATCATCAACTTCTCATCTGACCTCATGTGCGCCGAAATTGTTAAATTTTGGTCTTCTCTTATCTAATTACGTAACTTTTACTTAATTGTCTTTTGTTACCAACCAAACAACACAACTGTAAATGATTTTTTTTCAAGAAACTTCTATCTACCAAGATATATATGTATGTCGTAACACTTTAAACACCCTGTAAATCTTAACGCCTTATTTTACCATGACGTTTTGACAATATGCTTGCTAATGGACAAAGGTTTGTTAAAATTGTACACTTTTTTATTTTTAGTTTATTGAAAAATTCAGGTTGTACGCAGTTGATGAGAACCAAAGAAATAAAAGGGATCCAGATTATTTTGCGCCAATGTTTCCTCTTTCTTTGTTCAAATTTATAAAAGGGAATCATTGTATGAAATATATATATATATATATATATATATATATATATATATATATATATATATATATATATATATATATATATATATATATATATATATATATATATATAATATTCTAAAGGCACGAACTATTTAATTCATCCTTACGTACACGTGAAAGTGTTCATTTTGTCTAATATACAAATATAGACAACGAATGTGATGTAGACCGTTCATCATTATCAGCCTAGTCTCCAATCACATGTAACATTGATGTTGTTTTTCTAGCCATATTCAAGCAGGAAAATCAGCTTACATGTCTGCCTATTTACATGTCTCTAATTTTTCCCTACTAAGCGAAAAGCAACAAACACTGATTGGAGATGACGAGTTTGGCTATGTACAGATAATGCATTCCACCTATGAAGCAATAATTGATCGAATTCCACTAAATTCCTATCGTCATTGATCAGAATAATAAATAAAAAAAATTATATATATTGTAGTGATTGACAGGAAAATCTGATTTTGTAATTTCGTTAACAAAAACACACACAAAAAATATTCACCATGCGATTGGCGCAATTACTTGTGTAGGCGGCAATAATTTTAAAAGTGCTTTATTTCACTGATACCTTTGGTTTGCTGCTGACGCGTCACAACAGGTTCGAGTCTTGTTCAGCCTGAACACCTGGGTAGTATCGTTCTCAGTTTAGTACATCTGTCTAGTCCAAAGCCATACAAAAGACACGATATTTTCCTCTAATCTATAACGCAAACTTAATTGGTGGATGGTGACTAGCAGTGGAATCCATCGGGATGCGCATTTCGTTCTACTTGAGACTCGTCGGCTGGATGTACCTGCATTTCTCCCAGTGAGTGATGGTGTTCCCAACACTGAGGCGCGAACCCAGTGCCCATAGTGTCAAACGCCAAAGCGTTATCCACTAGACCACTTGGCCCACAAGAGCCAACTCTTGTGCAACGGGTCATATTAATTATTTAATTGAATTTTAGATTTTTCCGTCGAATGATTGGACCGAAGTGCTCGGTCCAACAATTAAATACTAATTAAATTCCCAGGCATCATCGAAGCATCTGCACAAGAAGCCAACAGACATGTCAACCTGAGACCGAGCACTTCGGTCCAATTAATCGACGAGAAAATCTAAAATTCAAGTAAATATTACGCAAACTGTTCCGTGAACAGTATATAAACATAATTGAATTCGGTATCGAATAAGCACATTTTAAGGAATAGCCGTAAACGACTTAGTAAATTAGGTGTTTTTCAGTTAATGGTTAGGTGCTCTAAATAGACAAAGAGAACACTCAGTACCATTTTATTCCAGAAAACAATGAGAAAAGTTACTTTTACATAAACTGAAGTCGATTGCCTCTGAATTTTGTTTACTGGACTACAGTAAAAAAAAAGTAAACGGCATATTTATTTCACATTTTAACGCACTTCAGTACAGCGGTATACATTCAGTAAAACGTATTCGGGAACTCACATTTTAATATTACCATAGGAAGAGGGACTTTTTGAAGTCCAGCTATGGTGCATTTGACTGACTATGACTACTAGATGGATCGGGTGTTAGATAAGGAGGATAAGTCAATCGATAAAGTTGTGAAGCACTACGCATGCCTAGCTATCGCCTTCCTCGATGGTCAATGTTAGCTGACATAGGATCAGGTTTGAAAAGAGCTAGTGGTGGTCAAACAAAAGCGTACTGATGAAGAACCCCAAACTAGGATGAAGCAGCTGTCCAGTACTCCCTGGTCAGTCGATTGAATTTCATCACAGAACTCTACACACAAGTGCAGCAGTTCAACTCACTACACTCCATGTACCACATAAAAGAAGACAGAAAACAGAGGAAAAAGGACACTCAGAAATATGAAGGAGGTAAAATAGGTATAGAGATTATGTAGATCACGCAACATTGAGACAATATCACCAATTTTCTCCAGCCACTGGTTTTTACTACCATGAGGATACCTCCATACCTACCTTAAACCAATTATCAAAGATTTCAAAGAATGAAACCATGTTTCTGATCGACCCAAACTAATGTCAGCTGACATGGCTCGTCGAAGAAGGCAATGGCAAGCCATACACAACTTGTATCTTAAAATCATCTGAAAAGATGTAGCTTCACAACCCCATCTATTGACTTACCCTCCTTATCTAACACTCAACGTTTAACCCTAATACTAATCACCTTACTAAATCACCTAACACGGGAGACAGAACGCAGATACCTATGATCAAAGAGACTTAGCCAACCTTTTCATACCTTCCACTTTCAATAAACTGTGTCTCACAACCGTAAAAGAGGACAAAGCGAACTGCTGTGCAGTACACACACGTCCTTTGGCTGATAGACGGTGAATGCCGGATTACAGTATATTGTTTTACATAGACCTTAAATAAATTTATGCCAACTAGTATACACTAATTACTCGACATCCTGTAATAAATATAATACGAATCAAAATTTATTCAACTAATTTACTACGAATATATTGATTTGACGACATCAAAAGTGACATAATATTCAGTGAATTGTATGCCAATTTTCAGTGTACATAAAAACACACACACACGCATACCGATATGAGCCATATATGTATATATGCATATAATATAAGACTTGGACAGGAAGTCTAAACGAATCAGGCTTTCAGTGTAGACGCACACTTAGACTATAGTGAAATTGATAACAAAAGTCAGACTGGGAAAAGTGATAACAATAACAACCTGTATAAGATGAGACATATAGTAGTATAGCATATAGCAGTACTAACACCGCAGCTGCATCTGTTCGACCACCGAGAAAACCAGTTGAACTACAAAAGCTTGAAAAATCATCAGCCATAGGTCTACACACTATAGAATCAGGCCACAAAATTGATTTTGACAATATTGAAATCATCATCCAGAAAAACTTGAGAAATCACAAAGAACGTCTAATATCAGAAACACTTCATATCAAGTGGAATCCAAATTGCCTGATGAATAGGAATGATGGACTAAAACAGAATCGGACCTGGTTACAACACCTCCCTCCCCTCCCC